GACTATGACCAGACTATGACTAGACTATGACTAGACTATGACTAGACTATGACTAGACTATGACTAGACTATGACTAGACTATGACTAGACTATGACTAGACTATGACTAGACTATGACTAGACTATGACTAGACTATGACTAGACTATGACTAGACTATGACTAGACTATGACTATAGACTGACTATGACTAGACTATGACTAGACTATGACTAGACTATGACTAGACTATGACTAGACTATGACTAGACTATGACTAGACTATGACTAGACTATGACTAGACTATGACTAGACTATGACTAGACTATGACTAGACTATGGCTAGACTATGACTAGACTATGACTAGACTATGACTAGACTATGACTAGACTATGACTAGACTATGACTAGACTATGACTAGACTATGACTAGACTATGACTAGACTATAGACTATGACTAGACTATGACTAGACTATGACTAGACTATGACTAGACTATGACTAGACTATGACTAGACTATGACTAGACTATGACTAGACTATGACTAGACTATGACTAGACTATGACTAGACTATGACTAGACTATGACTAGACTATGACTAGACTATGACTAGACTATGACTGGACTATGACTAGACTATGACTAGACTATGACTAGACTATGACTGGACTATGACTAGACTATGACTGGACTATGACTAGACTATGACTAGACTATGACTAGACTATGACTAGACTATGACTAGACTATGACTAGACTATGACTAGACTATGACTAGACTATGACTAGACTATGACTAGACTATGACTAGACTATGACTAGACTATGACTAGACTATGACTAGACTATGACTAGACTATGACTAGACTATGACTAGACTATGACTAGACTATGACTAGACTATGACTAGACTATGACTAGACTATGACTAGACTGACGACTATGACTAGACTATGACTAGACTATGACTAGACTATGACTAGACTATGACTAGACTATGACTAGACTATGACTAGACTATGACTAGACTATGACTAGACTATGACTAGACTATGACTAGACTATGACTAGACTATGACTAGACTATGACTAGACTATGACTAGACTATGACTAGACTATGACTAGACTATGACTAGACTATGACTAGACTATGACTAGACTATGACTAGACTATGACTAGACTATGACTAGACTATGACTAGACTATGACTAGACTATGACTAGACTATGACTAGACTATGACTAGACTATGACTAGACTATGACTAGACTATGACTAGACTATGACTAGACTATGACTAGACTATGACTAGACTATGACTAGACTATGACTAGACTATGACTAGACTATGACTAGACTATGACTAGACTATGACTAGACTATGACTAGACTATGACTAGACTATGACTAGACTATGACTAGACTATGACTAGACTATGACTAGACTATGACTAGACTATGACTAGACTATGACTAGACTATGACTAGACTATGACTAGACTATGACTAGACTATGACTTATGACTAGACTATGACTAGACTATGGACTAGACTATTGACTAGGACTATGACTAGGACTATGACTAGACTATGACTGGACTATGACTAGACTATGACTAGGACTATGACTAGGACTATGACTAGACTATGACTATGACATGACTATGACTAGACTATGACTAGACTATGACTAGACTATGACTAGACTATGACTAGACTATGACTAGACTATGACTAGACTATGACTAGACTATGACTAGACTATGACTAGACTATGACTAGACTATGACTAGGACTATGACTAGACTATGACTAGACTATGACTAGACTATGACTAGACTATGACTAGACTATGACTAGACTATGACTACACTATGACTAGACTATGACTAGACTATGACTAGACTAGACTAGACTATGACTAGACTATGACTAGACTATGACTAGACTATGACTAGACTAGATGACTAGAACTATGACTAGACTATGACTAGACTAGTCTACAGTTTAGACTATAGTCTGGACTATAGACTTTAGTCTAAACTGACTAGACTATAGAATAGTCTATAGTCTATTTATAGTCTAGTCTATAGTCTAATGTATGGTCTAGTGTATAGTCTAGTCTACGGTCTAGTCTATAATTTAGTTTATAGTTTATTTTATAGTCCAATCATTAATCAAGTTGATAGTCAAGTATAATTTAGTAATTTCGTTTATAGTATAATTTATAGTCTAGTCTATAGTTTAGTCTATAGTCTAGTGTATATTCTATATTCTAGTCTTCTGTTTAGTCTATAGTTTAGTATATAGTCTAGTGTATAGTTTACTCTTACGGTCTACTTAGTATATAAGTAGTGTAATCTTTATTCTTGTCTACAGTGTAGTTTATAGTGTAGTCTATAGTCTAGTCTATAGTTTAGTCTATAGACTGGTCTATAGTCAAGTGTAGTCTTTAGTCTAGTATAGTCTATATTCTAGTCTATACTCTAGCCTATAGTGTTATTTGGTAACTTCGTTTATAGTCTAGTCTATAGTCATGTCTATAGTTTAGTCTATAGTCTAGTTTGTTGTCTAGCCTATATTCTAGTCTATAGTATAGTCTAAAGTTCAGTCATTTATCTAGTCTATAGTCTAGTTTAATATAGCTTGTTGGTTTATAGTCTAGTCTAAAATCCAATTATTAATCTAGTCTATTGTATGTTGGTTTATAGTCTAGTTTTAGTCTAGTCTATAGTGTAGTCTGTGGTAAAGTCTATAGTCTAGTCCATAGTCTAGTCCACAGTCTAGTCAAGTCTATAATTCAGTTTTTAGGAATATTGTAAACTTTATTATAGTTTTGTAAGTGTTATTGCTGTTAGACCTGCTGATTTTTCATAAATTTTTGTAAAAATATAAACGTACAAGAAATTTAACTAGGATTAATCAAACACAAGCGAATCTAAGTAATTAATATTTTCTCAGTTTTGACAGCAGCAAACACGTACAAGAATAACTCCAAAATACATTTAATCACAATTAAAATGTAAATTAGTTTTTAAAAAATATCAACCATGGGAGTTGTAAGTGTCTGACTAGCTAGACAGCTGTAGTCGTTACAGGAATATCAAAATATTTTACCAAAAAAACTGGATAATAATTTCCAAGAAAATGTTAAATTTAACTTTATATAGATTATTAAACATATTATGCAATTTTAAATTTATGAACATAATTTTTTATTCTAAGCATAAGTATATAAAAGGACATGAATAACAATGAGCTTATTAGTTAAAGGTGAGTTCACATTATAGCAATATTTTGTAAACAATAAGGAAATCCCATTAAATAAAAATTAAACTTTATATTGAAAAGTTTTTCATGGAAAAAAAATCACAAAATTTAGGAAATTTTCAAAAATGTTGTTAAGTTTTATGGTTAAATCACGCCCTTTTTAGGTCAAATTCAGTGGCATATTTAGTTTTGTTTATTATTTAAGAAAAAAACTCACAACATTTTCTTATAACTCATTAAAAATTTCCCACAATTACTTTGTTTACTAAAACTGGTTTTATCAATTTTATTTATATATATTTTTTATTTTTTCACTTTACCATAACTTTTAAAATATTCCTTTAAATTCTTTACAAACTTTAATTAAACAGCTTTGAAACTATTTAACATAAACGTTAAAAACAAAAACACTTTTTGCATTTTTTACGCAAAACTTTTCAAAAAAAAAAAGTTTTTCATTAAGCTTTCACTTGTTGATTAAAGATTTATTATGATTCTGTTGTCAAGAATTTATATAAAATTTTTTACAAATATTTTTAAAACTTTTTTTTATTTTGCTTGTTTTTCACTTTTCTTTAATAGACTCGTTTTTGAGGCGCAACCAACATCCGTTGTTATTAAAACCGGCAATGTTTATACTCGAAGTTTATAAACAAAACTGATGGATTTCTAATTTCTTACCATTTTTGCCGGTCTTTATTTCTGGTATTCGTCTTTATGTAGGGCAACAGCTGTTTTTTGTTTTTAGTTCGAATTCGTATATGTTTAAGAGCTTTTGACAGGAGCACGTGCTATTTGTTATGATTCGCAGGTTTTCGAATATTAAACAATAATAAAAAGGGGAGCTTTTCATTAAAGGACAGGGGGAGAGCAAAAGCTGAACAGTGGTTAAGATTAGTATAAAATAATGTGACAGAAAGTTGTATTTAAGTTTTAAAGGTTTAATTTTAGCTTTATAGCTTTTCACATGAGCTAGATATTGTCAAAACTTTAGAAAATCTTTTGTTATTTTACCACTAAATTCTAAAAAGTTTATGGATATTAAAGCTTTATTTGGAAACTACATAAGTATATTCTAATATGTATATGTTTTAAGTTTCATTTATTAACAAAAGCTTAAAGCTTTATTAATTTCTTTATTTTATCAGTTTTAGTAAAAAAACTTCTTATTTAAAGAAAATATTTATTTTTTTTATAATACTTAGAGAGTTTGGTATAAAATATTCACTTTTAAGTTTAACAAAACTTTCAAAAGTAGAGCTTTAAAGCTTACTTAAGTCTTTTAGAATATAAACTACTAAAACTTTATTAGTTTTACCCAAAAAGCTCTCTATATCTTGAAAAATAAACAAATTTGCAGAAAAAGCTGTAAATATGTTAAGCTTTAGCATTAAAGTTTGAACTTTCGACTTGACTTTACAAAGTCGAATATAAACATTTGTTCAGATTTTGTATATACTAAATTTAGCTTTAAAGCTTGAAGATTGTCAACTACTTTTTGGAAATTCTATGGCTTCAAGCTTTTGCTAAACTCTTGAAAAGGCTTTTGTTTACTAAAAATTTTACATTAAGAGTTAGCTAGAAAGCTAGACATTGCATAGCTATTTCTAAAGCTTTTAGCAAAAAGCTCTTGTTAGAAACATATCAATTTTAAAGATTTTAACACTAAGAATTAGCTTTGAGCTAGCTAAGCTCTAATAAAACTTTTCATAATTCTAAGTCTTCAAATATTTTATTAAAGCTTAAAGCTTTCGCCACCAAAAATTAAAATCTTTAAAAAGTCATAACAATATTATAGAATTCTATAACATGAAATGTTTGCTTAAAGCTCATTTCCGATTGTAACTTAATCGTTACTGAAAACGAAAAGTCAGTTTAACTTTGTATCCGTAAATGTGCCTTTAAAGCTTTAGAAAGATTGTATTAAAATCAAATATTTAATATAAATTCATTAAATGTAATACTTCAGCTTTAGTAAAATTTTTTGAATTGAAAATTTTTCATAAAATTAAAAGCTTTTTACTATGGGAATTAGTTTTTAAGTTACACTAAATTGTTAGAAACATTATCATAACATAAAAAGCTTTTAACTTTAGGAATTAGCTTTCCAGCTAGACTAAATTGTAAGGAACATTTTCTGTTGCAAACTTTAGAAAGCTTTTAATATAAAGAAATATTTTATAAAAATTTATTTCATATTTTATTAAAATGTTTATGCAATCTTGTAAAATTGTAGTTTTTTTTGAAATGTTTATAATAGTAAAAGCTTTTGACATCAAGTATTAGCTTTTAAGCTGATCTAAGCTTTGAGAATTCCATGTGTTGAAGATTTTACTAGAAACTTTAAAAAGTTCTTGTTAAAAACAAAATTATTTCATATTTTATTAAAGCTTTAGGGAAACTTGAGATATGTATTTCAACTTTTTTAAAGTATTTGTTTCTCCGTTAATCTAACTTAAGTCCAATATTCTAAAATGTTATACATATACATACATTATAAATATAACAGTTTACAAAATATAAAACTTTATGTATATAACAGATTATAGGTATATTTTCTCCATTTTACAAAAAGCTTTTTTCCACTGGTTTTAAACTTTACTAAAAACTTGTCAATATACATTCACACAAAATGTTACTGCTTTCCAATGTTAACATTGTTGAAAAGCTTTACCAAACTGCTGTCATCCCACTTAAACCAAAAGCTTTTTACATTTCTGTTAAACTCAATAAACAGTTTAAATTTAACTCCTCCTCTCTACCAACAAAATGTTAACTAACATCAATATATGTTAACACTTTTTTCACACACTTATCTTACTTATCAACAACTAATTACTTAAATAACCAATAAATACTTGTCTTGTGTCGTCCACTTACCAGAATTTTTGTTACCAATTTCTCTTGTCATTTCTTCGGTACGATTTTTAAACTTTTCTGTAATGCGATATTGAGCAAAAGTCATATTTTCATTACGCATTTGTTTGCCCAGACTGGTCATCATGAGGTAACAGGTATGTTGACCAGCAACATTACGTTGACCATCAGCATCGTAAAAGAAAATGGAACGTGACCATTTGTGTCTGTGTAGAAGAGAGAATAATTAATATTTATAAGTATTTCAATTTAATAGTTATTAATTTTATCTAACCTTTTCATTACCGATATTGTTAGTTCTGATATGGATTCAAAACTTAACATACCCGTACGCAATAGCATATAAAATTCATCCGAACATTTAGTTTTGGGTTTTTCAAAATCAAATGTGGAACCACCCACTGATATGAGGGGTGTGCCATTGCTATTGAAGTACTTGGCTATACGGCCAACAGCAGCTGGAAAATAAATTAGATTGGTTGTTATTGGAAATGCTTTGATAGATAAAATATATACATTTGTATTTCTAACTGATCGTTTAATACTGATCGATAAATTTTCAGTAGAAAAGTTTCTGATCTCCAACTTGTCTATAGAAACTTTACTGATCGTTAACTTTTCTATTAAAAACTTACTAATCGTCAACTTTTCTATTGAAAACTTACTGATCATCAACTTTTCTATAGAAAACTTACTGATCATCAACTTTTCTATAGAAAACTTACTGATCATCAACTTTTCTATAGAAAACTAAACTGATCATCAACTTTTCTATAGAAAACAAAACTGATCATCAACTTTTCTATAGATAACTGAACTTATCGTAAACTTTTCTACAGACAACTTACTGATCGTCAACTTTTTTATAGAAAACTGAATTAATCGTTAACTTTTCTATAGAAAACTGGTGCGATCGTGAACTTTTCTATAGAAAACTGAACTAATCGTCAACTTTTCTATGGACAACTTACTGATCGTGAACTTTTCTATAGAAAACAGAACTGATCGTCAACTTTTCTATAGAAAACTGATCTGATCGTAAACTTTTCTATAGAAAACTAAACTGATCGTGAACTTTTCTGTGGAAAACTAAACTGAACATTTCTATGGAAAACATGGCTGATCATCAACTTTTCTCTAGAAAACTAAGCTGATCGTCAACTTTTCTATGGAAAACTGAACTGATCGTCAACTTTTCTATAGAAAACTGAACTGATTGTCAACTTTTTTTATAGAAAATTGAACTTATCGTCAACTTTTCTATAGAAAACTGAACTGATCGTCAACTTTTCTATGGAAAACTGAACTGATCGTCAACTTTTCTATAGAAAACTGAACTGATTGTCAACTTTTTTTACAGAAAATTGAACTTATCGTCAACTTTTCTATAGAAAACTGAACTGATCGTCAACTTTTCTATAGAAAACTTAACTGATCGTCAATTTTTCTATAAAAACCTGAAATGATCGTAAACTTTTCCATGGAAAACTTACTGATCGTAAACTTTTCTATAGAAAACTGAACTGATCACCAACTGAATTGATCGTCAAATTTTCTATAGGAAACTATACTGATCGTCAACTATTCTATAGAAAACTGAACTGATCGTTAACTTTTATATAGAAAACTGAACTGATCGTTAACTTTTATATAGAAAACTGAACTGATCGTTAACTTTTAAATAAAAAACAGAACTGATCGTCAACTTTTCTATAAAAAAACTGAACTGATCGTCAACTTTTCTATAGAAAACTGAACTGATCGTCAACTTTTCTATAGAAAACTGAACTGATCGTCAACTTTTCTATAGAAAACTGAACTGATCGTCAACTTTTCTATAGAAAACTGAACTGATCGTCAACTTTTCTATAGAAAACTGAACTGATCGTCAACTTTTCTATAGAAAACTGATCTGATCGTAAACTTTTCTTTTAAAAATTGAACTGATCGTCAACTTTTCTACAGAAAATTTAACTGATCGTCAACTTTTCTATAGAAACTAAACTGATCGTCAACTTTTCTATAGAAAACTGAACTGATCGTCAACTTTTCTATAGAAAACTGAACTGATCGTCAACTTTTCTATTGAAAACTTACTGATCATCAACTTTTCTATAGAAAACTAAACTGATCGTCATCTTTTCTATAGAAAAGTTACTGATCGTCATCTTTTCTATAGAGATGTTGCTGATCGTCTACATTTCTGTACAAAAGTTACTGATCGTCAACTAAAATATATAAATAAAATATGTCCAAATTGGGTATATTTTTGTATAGAAAATTTAGCCAAATTAGGCATATTTCCTTATTGGTCATTATCCTTTCAAATTTTAAGTGTAATACTGCTAAATTACATTTAATTTACAACCAATTCGATTGATTTATCACTCACCACCCCACCCCCCTTTAACTCACCTAATGAATAATCACAAACGGGTCCGAAAAACACGTGCGAACAATTCTTCACTATCCCATCCATAGCCTTAACAGCAGCAAAAGCTGCATCACATTTATCATCCTGCGGCATCCAATCGAATTGTATGTATGACGGCAACAAACCACTGGCATGTATACGTTGCTCTGCCACTTGTAAAATGGGTACGACACGTTTCAATGATGCCACGTAACCATCATCGTCGGGCATCAGAACAAGAGCACGTATTGTACAATTGTAATCGGCGGGAAAAAAGTTTGTCAATGTCACATTATTTGTTGCTAATACAGTTGATTGATAATTATTATTGTTGTTGATGTTATCCGGCGTCGACCAGATGGGTTGACATATTGCCTCACATGAACGACTGGGTTCATAGCGACAACTGGCCTCTACCAGATGTTGCGGCAATTGGATAACGGTGAGAAGTAAGAGTAGAGTATTTACAAAGTAAAAGAGATCTGGAAAATATGATGACATTTTATAAGAACAATTTAGGAGCATTTTCTGTGGGGGAGGACAAGGAGCCGAAGTTTGCTGCTGTTGCTGAAGGCATTGAGTAAGACATGTTTTATTTGCTGTTGGGTAATGATGTGTATAATAAAGTTGCTGCTGCTGTTGTGTACTTTTAAATTGTTTACAATATAAAATGCTAATAATACTGTTTAGGAATTTATTGTTTGTGTTGCTGTTGTTGCTGCTGCCATTGTTGTTGTTGTTGTATTTAGTTAGCTGGCAATCATTACTGTTGTCATTGTTATTAGGAAATCCCTTGCATTTGCAATTTAAATTTGTTTCTACTGTAGTTGTAGCTGTAGTTTTTTTTGTTCGTATTTGTTTATTGCAATTTCTTGGTTTTATGCAAATATTTATTTCTTCCTTGGCACTTTCTCTATCTTCCTTTACATATTTGTCCGTATCCTCGCTTGCTTTGCCTCGTCCACAAATGTCATTTCTAGTATTTATAGCAGCATTATATTTGTCTTGTTTACATTTTCTACAACAAGATGCTGTTGCAGCATCATCATCTTCTCCAGCTCCTCCACAATCTCGTTTATAAAATGTTTGTGTGTCTGCTGTATGTGTGACTTGTGCAATGACCCTTAATGTTTTAGTTACTTTTGTTTCCATTTGATTTTGCAACAAAGTTGTAGTCTCAGCATATTGAGGTCTATAACTTGCCTCCTGCATAATCTTCCTTTTTCCTTACACAAAACTATGTTTGTAAAGATGTGTTCATAAGTTTTACTGTGTTCACCACTACATTTAAATTGAGGAAATAAAGGTGTTTTTGCTTTCTATTTTTGTATATTGAAAACTTTGTTGTTTGTTATAAATTATTTCTTTTGAAATTTTGTTGTGCCAAGTTTACATTTGAAAGGGGTTGCACTCAATTAATGTTGCATGTAAAAACTTTTTTTTTGCATATTTTTGTTATATTTTTTTTTTTTTATTTATGGTTTTACATCATCAGTTCATATGTTTTGGTGGCTCGAAAAACAAAAAGCTAAAAATCACCAGAAAACCTCATATTGGCAGGTGTAGCTTAGATCCTTATGTTATTAAAGGGGGAAGGGCACAGGTTATAGTTTTTAGATTTTTGAACTTTTGTTATTTTTGCCAGTTTTTCCTGCAATGAAAGCAAACGGAAAGAAAAATGAAAATATTTCATTTCAGCATTTGTGTGGTAAATAAACTATGTAATTAAATTTAACTACAGTCAGTGATTAAAAATGTAAAAACTTTAGCAAAACCCAAAAGCTATAACTGTTTTTAAATCCTAAAATAAGAAATGCAAATATTTTGGCCGATTATTATGTCTCCGTTTTCACTTACAGATCATACAAATACAGATCTATAGAAAATTCACTGATCGCCAACTTTTTAAACAAAACTCACAGATCGTCAACATTCTTTAGAAAACTCATCGATCAAGTCAAATTGTTTAAAGAAAGCTAACTGATCTTTAAATGTTATATACAAAACTAACTGATCGTAAACTTTTCTATAGAAATCATAACTGATGGTCAATTTTTATATAGAAAGTATAACCGATCGTCTATTTTTATATAGAAAATATAATAAATCGTTCTATGGAAAATATAACTGATCCTCAGTTTTTTATAGAAAACATAGCTGATCGTCTGTTTTCTATAGAAAATTTAACTGATTGTGAACTTTTCTATAGAAAACTAGACTGATCATAAACTTTTCTATACAAAACTATATCGATCGTCAACTTTTCCATAGAAAACTAAACTGATCGTCAATTTTTCTATAGAAAACTAAACTGATCGTCCACTTTTCTATAGAAAACTTGACTGATCGTCAACTTTTCTATAGAAAACTTGACTGATCGTCAACTTTTCTATAGAAAACTTGACTGATTGTCAACTTTTCTATAGAAAACTTGACTGATTGTCAACTTTTCTATAGAAGACTTGACTGATCGTCAACTTTTCTGTAGAAGATTAGACTGATCATCAACTTTTTGTAGAAGACTAGACTGAACGTCAACTTTTCTATAGAAAACTAGACTGATCATAAACTTTTCTATACAAAATTATACTGACCGTCAACTAGACAGATCGTCAACTTTTCCATAGAAAACTAGACTGATCGTCAAATTTTCTATAGAAAATTAGACTGATCGTCGTAGATTCTATAGAAAACTAGACTGATAGTCAACTAGACTGATAGTCAACTTTCTATAGAAGACTAGACTTTCCTATAGAAAACTAAACTGATCATCAACTTTTCTATAGAAAACTAGACTAATCGTCATCTTTCCTATAGAAAACTAAACTGATCGTCAACTTTTCTATAGAAAACTAAACTAATCGTCAATTTTCTGTAGAAAACTAGACTGATCGTCAACTTTTCTATAGAAAACTAGGCTGATCGTCAACTTTTCTATAGAAAACTAGACTGATCGTCAACTTTTCTATAGAAAACTAGACTGATCGTCAACTTTTCTATGGAAAACTAAACTGATCGTCAACTTTTCTATGGAAAACTAAACTGATCGTCAACTTTTCTATTGAAAACTGAACTGATCGTCAACTTTTCTATAGAAAACTGACTGATCGACAACTTTTCTATAGAAAACTGACTGATCGTCAACTTTTCTATAGAAAACTTACTGATCGTCAACTTTTCTATAGAAAACTTACTGATCGTCAACTTTTCTATAGAAAACTTACTGATCGTCAACTTTTCTATAGAAAACTTACTGATCGTCAACTTTTCTATAGAAAACTAGACTGATCGTCAACTTTTCTATAGAAAACTAGACTGATCGTCAACTTTTCTATAGAAAATTAGACTGATCGTCAACTTTTCTATAGAAAACTAGACTGATCGTCAACTTTTCTATAGAATACTAGACTGATCGTCAACTTTTCTATAGAAAACTAGACTGTTCGTCAACTTTTCTATAGAAAACTAGACTGATCGTCAACTTTTCTATAGAAAACTAGACTGATCGTCAACTTTTCTATAGAAAACTAGATTGATCGTCAACTTTTCTATAGAAAACTGTCTGATCGTCAACTTTTCTATAGAAAGCTGACTGATCGTCAACTTTTCTATAGAAAACTGACTGATCGTCAACTTTTCTATAGAAAACTGTCTGATCGTCAACTTTTCTATAGAAAACTGGACTGATCGTCAACTTTTCTATACAAAACTTAACTGAATGTTAACTTTTCTCTATGGAAATCCTAAATGATCATCAGTTTTTCTATACAAAACTTAACTTATCGTGAACTTTTATAAAGAAACCAGGACTAATGTCAATGTTTCTATAGAAACTGTCTGATCGCCAACTTTCCTATAGCAGACTGGACTGATCGTCATCTTTTCCTTAGACAACTGAAATAGTCGTAAACTTTTCTATAGGAAACTGGACTGGTCGTCGATTTTTATATGAAAACTGGACCAAAATAACTGATCATCAGTTTTTCGGTTCATAATTCTGTGAATAGAAAAGCTTTATATTATTTTCCATTTAAAATAGTTGTTTTCTTCAGAACTAAGGAAATCGTTTAAAATTTAAATTGAAAGAATTTTTACATTTAGCTTAGCATTTGACAATTTATTATCAGTTTTTAGGAATGACGTCATGATGTGCGTCAATTGAGAAATATATTTAAAAAACAGGCCACAAAACATTAAAGAGTTTCCAAGTGAAAAGGATGTTTTTAGTAGGAATAGAATTGTTGCAGTTAATATGCATTTCTTTCATTCCTTGTCCTTGTCTTTTATCGCACACTGTTTATGTCATCATCGTTGTCTACAGGTTTCTATTAAGGAATCTATTTGTTAAATAATAAATTTTATCCTGACCTTTAGTGAAGATTCTTAGATGTACGAGAACAGCTAGTCTTCTTGGCATTAATTCTTAACCAACCATTACTTTTTACGACTACAAAGTATATAATTTCATTATGATCAAAAATGCTATTAACAAAGTAACAAATTGTGGTTTGCTTAAAACTTATACAAAACAAGAAAGGACAAATGTTACAAACATCTAAGGATATAAAAAAGGAGGTATTGTTGTGCTGCACCTGAG